TGGATGCAGGGGGATGAGTAGGTGTAGGGGTGCATACAGTAGGATAGACGGAGAGAGTGGATGTGAGGAATGGGTACAGGGTGATGGATTCAGAAGGACATGGGTTCAGCAAATGGATGCAGGGAATGTGAGACAGACACAGGGAATGACCAGCCACAGGGGATGGATACAGAGGAATGGATGCAGGGGAAAGATGCAGGGGTTAGATACAGATGGTTGGATGTGGGGGGATGGACCCAGGATGGACGCAGAGTAGACACAAGAGGAGCAAATGCTGGGAACAGATACAGGAGGTTGGATGAAGGAGATGGATGCCCGAGGGTGACTGTCTGCTGTCCCTGTGGCCTGTTTGCTGGGACTAGGCTGGGAGTCAGACCAGTTCCAGTGTCCCTCAGGTGTGCAGAGAGGACACGGGGTAAAAGGAGCCATCACTGCACAACTCATTTTACAGAGGAGGAAATAGGCCAGACAGGTGCGTTTTCCAAAGCCACACATGATGGTGACTATGGAGCCCTGGCTTCCGACTCCCTGTCCCACGCTCCCTGTCAGGCCCCAGGAAGTTCCCCCTCAGCCCAAACTCAGGATAAGAGGACACTCACCAAAACTCGCCATCATCCTGCACGGTCACGCCCATCTTCTCCCGCTCACTCTTGCTCACTTTCTTCCATTCCTCTGAGCTGGAATGTGAGTGTCAGGGAGAAACCAGTGTAAGAGGGAGTAGCCTGCCAGCACCACCTCCCCAAGAGACAGCGCGGGGCCAAGCCATGTGGCTAGAGAAACTGGGGGTCACACCCAGCTCCAAGAAGCCTCCATGCCCTCCCGCTGGAGACTGTGATCGCTCTTCATGCCATGGCTACGACGTCAGGGGATAAAGCTGGGATCAGGGGCTCTGACCCTCGGGGCCACTGGCCAAGCACAGACACCAGCAGCATGCAGGGAGCTGGTGGTCTCCCTCCCCACCTCCCCACAGGTCAAGGTCAGCTCATCCTTCTCCAGGCCACTGTCCTGGATGACCCCACCCCCAGACACCACGCACACATTGGGAAGTGAGTGTCCTGTCTTTTCCTCAGGCCATCTCCCCCAGACCCTGCAAGGCCCAGTCCAGTGTCACGTTTTTTTTTGTCCTCGCCTCTGGACCTGTACCCACCCCAACCCTGGGCCTCACGTGTCGCTCCAGGGCCCGTTCCACTCCCGCTCGCCCCAGGGGTTCCTCAGGCGGATCATGTCCAGCTTCTCCGATTTGAAGAAGGCCAGCAGGCCGTGGCCCAGGCGCACCTTGCGCACATCAGTGACAGCATACGCATGGCCCTTCACCAGGCCACATGCCAGGCGGGCCTCCATGTCAGCTGCTGTCACAGCCTGCAGGAGGACAAAGGTACTCAGACAGGAGGGTCACACAGGAATCCAAACTTAAGACACTGGAGCTAGACTGAGGAGCCACACCGCCCCCTTCAGGTAGGGATGGGAACTGCAGCTGCATGGGAAAAGAACTTACTTTGCTAAGAAGGGGTCAGAACCCCAGGGGACCAACCACCTGCAGATGTCACCCCAGAGTATATTGATGCCAACCTGCCCCAGTGAAGCCAACTGCTATATATTTAAAATTATTGAAGTCTCAATACATAGGCCTGAGTGGCCTAGAATTCTCTTTGTAGACTAGACTGACTTTGAACTTGGGGCAACCTTCCTGCCTCTGCCTCCCAAGTCCCAAACACTAAGATTACAGATGTGCAAGCACCATGCCTGGTAGTAACACTCAGCAATTTTAAGAGCTGTTTGTGAAAACATGGGCAATAGTAAACTGACCTTGGTGGGAGTATTGACTCCACGGAAATGGGCAGATACTGCAAACCAGGGCACCATGTTTCTAGAGAGCCAGCTGATCAGGCACACAGACAGCAACCTTATCCTGGTTTCAAACCCTGCCACCAATGAACCCACCCATCTCCCAGCAGTGACCGAGCAGAGGACCCTCTTGGAGACCAGCTTCAGGCTACCTACCCTAGGGACTCCCTACCCTCTTCCAGGTTCCCCTTAACTTTGGACACCATATGCCTTGGCAACGTGCCTCAAAGGCAGAGAGAGATACAAGGGTCTGAAGGGAGCCTGAAGGGTGTTGGGGGGCGGTGCATGGTGCAGGAGGTTAAGGCTGGGTTTGCATTGCTGCTCAGCACCGGGGAAGGGGAGCTGTGCTCTCCAACGGCTGTCCCCCCCCCCTCACGGGGCCAAGGGTCAGTGTGGTGAGCTGGCCTGGGCCCAGGCTCGGCCCCACTCCCTCTCATCCCAGGCTTGGGTCTGGCCCACACTCCTACCTTGATGGAGGCACTGATGAGGCCACCTCTGCTATGCACTTTCAGCACCCGCTCAAAGAGCTGACTCCTCTTGACCTCGTCGCTGGCCAAGTCCCCATCGGTCAGGTCAATGGGTTCAGAAACGCCACCTGTGAAATCTACGAGTGCATCCGCCGTGTTGCCCCCATCCAGGGCCTGGTAACAGCCCGCCAGCCTGGGGGACAACAGGCAAGGAAATCCCAGTTCAGGCTCCCGGGCAGCTCTCAATCTGTTGCCGCATACAGGAGCTGTGTGAAGCTTAGAAATCAAGCCAACCGCTATGGTCTCACAGCAAAGCCACAGCACAGGCAACAGTGGCGTCCAGGTCTTAACTCCCAGACCCACTCTGTCCATCTGCACACCACCACTGTAGGACTCAAATTCCCAACAATTCTGCATAAGTAATATAATTCACAATGATAGAATGTACAACTC